AGCTCAGGGCCTGGAGCCTGCTTCATAATTCTGTCTCCCTCTCTCTGCCCCTCCCTGGCTCACACTCTGTCTCTCTGTCTCTCTCTCAAAATAATAAACATTTTAAAAAATATGGTTTTATTCTGGCTAAATTTTAGCCCTAAATTTTCTTTTAGGGCTAAATTTTCTTTTAGCCTAAAATTTTTTGACGTTTATTTACTTTTGAGAGACAAGAGAGACAAAGAGCAGAAGCTGGGGAGGGGCAGAGAGAGAAGACACAGAACGAACCAGGCTCCAAGCTCTGAGCAAGCTGTCAGCACAGAGCCCGCTATGGGGCTCAAACCCCTGAACTGTGAGATCATGACCTGAGCCGAAGTTGGATGCTTGATTGACTGAGCCACCTAGGTGCCCCTAATTACAAAGAAATCTAAGAGACTATAACTTAGAAGTGATCCTAGGAACAGAGTTGTCAACCAAAACAAGATCTATGTCCGAGCAACGTTGAAGAGTCAGGAACACAGGATGAGACTCATCCATCATGAGAAATAAGCCAAAGGATGTCATATACAAGAATATAGAGAAAAAGGGAGTTGGGGAAGAGATCTTTAGAAATAAGCTGCATATTTGATTCAAAACAAAATTAAAAGGAAGAAAAATGCTGTAGGCATGCTGTAAATCTCCACCTCAAATGAACAGCATTTCTTAAATTGTCAATAGTGACTATGGGGTACAAGATTGGTTTTGTAGTCTTGCCCTACATTAAACACAAAATAGAACATCTTCCATATTAAGGTTAAAAAGGAAACACACACCTAATATTGCTTCTACCCAAACCCAAGTAAACCATAGTAAAGGAACCTAAACACACACACACATACACACACACCAGGAAAATAGGTATCACAACAAAATTTTGGAAGCTGGGAAACATGTAGACAAGTTGCAAACTCAGGAAGCTGAGTTTGGACCAACAGTGGGAGCTGCTGAGAAACCAGGAGGTACATAGCAGATTCCTCCAAAAATTTAGGCTACCAAAAATTTATACTACCAGATACCTCAAGCCTGAAGAAGGGTAAGGGGGAGTTGAATTAAGGAGGATGGGGTAAAAAATGTTCAGAATACAATCCCTGCCCCCATACCACCCTGAAGTCCTAACTTGACAGAAGGTGGTTGTTTCTCTAGAAAGTAAAAGAGAGGGTGTCTAAACTTGGGGGTAGCACATATAATTGGGCTCAAGTGCAACCAGAAACAGATATTAAGTGACCATATGAATACCACCTCCCACTTCCTTTCCACTCAATTCCTAGGTGCTGACCTCAGACTTCTACCCTTCAGTCAGAAGACTAAGCAATTCTTCTCTAGGAAACCAGACCAACCAAAAGGAAAGGGCTTAACACACTATCCTAGGGGTTCTCCAACTAACCACCTACCCAAGCACCCTATAGTGAAGGAGACTCCAAGTTGACAAGCCTCACCCACTTGGGCAGAGCTTCCGATCTGCACTTTCATCCCTCCTCTCTTATTCATGAATACCAAGGACTTCCAGGAAATAAGGAAAGCCTTTAATGTGAACAAATAGATCCAAAGAAACAGATTAGAGCAACTTGGAAGAAATAGTGGATTCTATGGATTCTTCAAAGACTTAAAACAATTTTCTGAGAGATAATATTCCATTCAAAACAAAAAGTGTTATTAAAAAGAAACAAAGCAAAGATCTTGGAAATTAAAAACTATGGTGACAGGAAAAAATCAATAGGACTGGAAGATAAAGTTGAAGAAACCTCCCCAAAAGTGGAACAAAATTACAGATGGAAAAATTGTAGAAAAGATTAAACAAAGCAGGTCAGTAGAGGAGGTCCATCATCTGAATAATAAGAGTTCCAGGAAAAGAAAGCAAGAAGAAACAGTGGAGGAGCAGCTTTCAATGAAGTAATTACATTTTCCAGGACTGAAGAACATTAAGATTTTGATCAGCAGGATTCAGAGTATCAAGCACATAGGGTGAAAATAGACCATCACCAAGAAATATAGTCATGGACCACTGGGGGAAAACTACAGTTCTAAGAGCTTCAAGAGAGAAGAAAACTGGTCACATAAATATGGCTGCTAGAAGACCCAAGAGTAATACCTTTGAAATTCCTAATGAAAATAATATCCAACTACATGGTGTTAAACTTATCAGTAACAGAAGAGAATAAAAGCATTTTCAGACACTTAAAATCTTAAACATTTTACCTCTCACACAAATTAAACATGGGAACACACAAGACAAAACCAGGAAATCCAACATACGAGGCAAAGGGAATCACAAGGATGGTGATATGCAGCAGAGGGAAATTAGAGTGGAGCAGGGGCAAGATCTCGCTCCATAGTTATGCTGACCTTCCCCTCAAAGTGAACGAAGGCACAGTGAAAGTCAATGGAACCATCACTTTTATTGATGATTTTAACAAGAACAAAGTGTATGTTATATGTAATGTTATAAATAACATATAAGTGAAGTTATATGTTCACTATAAGTGTACTTAATGGATGGTGATAGAAATTGTTTCTTTTAGGGGCGCCTGGGTGGCTTAGTCGTTTGAGCGTCCGACTTTCGCTTAGGTCATGATCTCGCAGTTCGTGGGTTCGAGCCCTGTGTCGGGCTCTGTGCTGACTGCCAGCTCAGAGCCTGGAGCCTGTTTCAGTCTGTGACTCCCTCTCTCTCTGACCCTCCCCTTCTCACACTGTCTCTCTCTCTCTCTCTCTCCTAGAAATGAATAAAACATTTAAAAAAAAAATTAAAAAAAAAAAAAAAGAAATTGTTTCTTTTATAGATTACAAAGAAGTTTGAAAGTGCTAAACCAAGTACCTCTGTAACTATAAAAAATCTTTCCTACAACACTTACTGAGTAGCCACGGGGTCCTGGCTACTACCAGATCTAAAATGTTTGTGTACCAGTGGGTTAGATGTGTATATGGAATCAGAAAACATCCATCTTTCTGTTAGTATCCAAGTGCAGTGTCCATTTGTGTCTACTCTTGGCTTTCCTCTATAACTCAGTCCTTGGGAGAGACTCCAGACAATTGAGAATTTAGGGCTTTGTAGAACATACCACCTTGGAAAAACTGAAAAAAAATAAAGATGGCAGGACACTATTTTTACATCATTTTTAAAATAAAGGTTTTTTTTTTTAAATGTTTATTTTTGATAGAGAGAGACAGAGTGCGAGTGGGGAAGGGACAGAGGGAGAGGGAGACACAATCCGAAGCAGGCTCCAGGCTCCTAGCTGTCAGCACAGAACTCGATGCAGGGCTTAAACTCACGGAACGCGAGATCATGACCTGAACTGAAGTCAGACGCTTAACCCACTGAGCCACCCAGGTGCCCCTGTTACATCATTTTTTTAAAAAATTTTTTAATGCTTTATTTCTGTGAGTGAGAGAGAGAGAGAGAGAGAGCGAGCAGGGGAGGGTCAGAGAGAAAGGGAGACACAGAATCCAAAGACAGGCTCCAAGCTTCGAGCTAGCTGTCAGCACAGAGCCCGACGCGGGGCTCGAACCCATGAACTGTGAGATCATGACCTGAGCCGAAGTCGGACATTTAGCCGACTAAGCCACCCAGGCGCCCCTGTTACATCATTTTTTTAATCTTGCAGAACATTATTCTAAAATAAAAACACTGTTAATAAAATCATAGGTCTATTCCAAGATTTCTTAATATCTTTTATAACATTCCATTCAGAAGGCAGAAAACTACCAGGTTTTTCTCTAAGGAAGGGTGCAAATGGAATGCAATACTGCATGAGTGCACTGAATAGAAAGAATATAAACAGGGAGGACAAGGAAACAATTCTTTAACTCTCCCCCTCCTCCTATAACTTTTGCTGAAGAACCACTCACTTGACATCCTAGAAACTGTCTTGCTGAGATCTGTCACTGTGATCTAGAAGCAATGAATCTTCTCCAGTTAGCATAACGAATGCGACACTGCCTACATTCATCCTGTGGGATAGCTAAAAGGACAAACCCTCAGCATCACACATTAATCTATTATAGAAATCAGCCATATAATTATTTTTCTGTCAAGATCCTCTAATTTAACATTTTTTAAGTAACTAAAATATAGTCAAGTTTACATGGAACTATACACAAACATACCTTGTTACTATTGTTCAGCTTCATAGCAACACCATGGGACAGTCAAGGGCACAATCACAACTTTAAAAATTAAGAGCGAGAAGTAAACACAACAGGACATTTGCACAATGGCAGAGAATCCTGTTCTTGGCAGTAGATAGGAAATGACTGGCTAAAGAAGTAAGTTACGGACAAACATATTCTAAAATCTAAGTATCATACTCATAGGGTATTTAAATGATTCATAGCTATACATATCCTAAAAGTCTAATATTTTACATTAGTAGCTTCTTATACAAAGGTGAAAACAAAAACCTGCCAAGAATCAACCCAAGTCATTCTTTCTTTTCTCCTTTACTCCAAGTTTGAGTGAAGTCATGAGACAGTCTAGCTTAATGGCCTAGAAAAAGTTTTCTACTTGCAAGATGCCCTAATCATTAATTAATAAGCCCAAAGTGAACAATGAATTCGATACGGAAATTGTGAAACAAGGATATATTTCCTAAAATTTGAAGAACAGGAGACTCAAGGCAGTTGGTAACACCAAGAGCCCCTTAAGTTATATTACAATGGCACCCTGGAAATATTTTATAACAAAACATAATTTTCCCTTAGTTTTCATCATATGGGTGAAACTGTTCAAGTCAGTAAAGAATTTATGGGAGAGATACACGGTTAGGCTGCATCAAGGCAATCCCCCTCTGAAGTGTTCACAGAAGGAAAATGACTTGGTACCATGTGGCTTGAACTTATCCTCAGCAAGACAGTCTAATCCCCTTAACCCCATTGTTTACCTGGTAAAAGATTGTAAAAATATTTCCATAGGAGGTAAAGACTAATAAGAACCTAGAAGTACACTCTGGAAAGTTGTGAAAATGTCATAGAAAAGGAGCACCACATGCTGATTTTAACAGCTTTTTTACTGTAGGGATCTATTTGTTGTGTATACACCATAGGAAAATTGTTCCCCTACCAAAACCCCCAAAAAAAGGTCATGCAGAAAAATTAGATTCATAAAAGAATGTATGTAATTCAAAGTAGGCAAAAATATAGCATATGTTTTAAAAAAGAAAATATGCAAAATAATTTCACTATGGAATGCCCTAATTGACATGTGACTTAGTACTATTTACTATTAATCAGATCTGATTATTCTAATAAATCTCTAATATATATTTTCTGGAAAATCTATTTCTAAAATATATCTGCTTTTAAGACAGAACATAAAAAAAAAAAAAAAAAGACAGAACATAAAACCTGTATTTGTGCATCCACATATAAGCTATCTTGCCTGGTATCTTCATGGATCCAAGATACTGAATGATTAATAAAATATTTAAAAATCTCAAGTCACAGATTTAACAAAGAACATATTTCCTCAAGTTTTCTGGACTATACTACTAAAAGTAACTTGTATTAATTAATGTACTCTGGATTTCCAGATATAAATACTAGTCAATGGTTGCTTAGTCACTGAATCTTAGAACTGGGTCATAATATACAAAATGCCTTAACTTTTCTTACTTCAAACTCTGTAATTTGACCCTAAATACATAATCGTGCCCTTTTATATGCTTTAAGCTGACATACTGACTGTACAGTCTATACTCTGTAAAACAGCAGGTAACTCTAGCACAGAAGAAACTATATGATGTGGCCTGGGGGATGACTTCAGTGGCATTATTCCATTTTTATTTATCCAGACTGTTGCTTTTAGCCCTGCATTAAGGCCTCCTTGTATATCGGTTTCTAGTGTATCACCAACCATCACACAGTCCCCAGGCTGTACTCCAAGGAGATTACAGCAGTAATAAAATATGGAAGGTGATGGCTTCTCTTCTTTCTGCTCTCCACCTACAACGATAGCGTCAAAATAGGACTGGCAGGCACAAGCCTCTATCTTCTCCCTTTGGGTCTGGTGGTCTCCATTTGTTAGTAAAAGTAGGCGGACCTCCTTTCGAAGTTCAATGAGCATGGCTTTGACATCTTCTGCTAGTATCATATGCTGTAAACGTGTAGATTTCCATAGGAAATAACATTCTTCAGCCAATTTCCTATTGGCTCCACCACCCTTCGTTTCCTGGATAGCTTCTTCCCAGTGTAAAGTCCTTAGATCAGTAATGCAAGTACTGGAAGGATGAAAACATTCTTTGCTGAGTTTAACTTGAACTTTGTCACAGATGGTTTCAGCCTCTTCTTTGTAATCGTATTTTGATTGTAAGAGCTTTATCACCTGAATAAAGGAAAACAGCTCCATCAACACACTTCAGGTCTTTAATAGTCATGCTCTGAGAAGCCGCACTCCTATAATCCCAGAGCAGAGATACTAACTCCATGTATCTGCCTTAAGGCAGCTCTATTACCACAACATTTGTAGTGGGAATATAAAAATATAGAGAATATCAGAGTGAAGATCTCCCAACCTCTCTACACAACTCATTCATATATTTGACCATAGAACTGATTCATATATTTGACCAATTTCTATTCTAAGAAGGGTCTTCAGAAATAGCTCACAACCCTTCATTTGGCAGTCTACCATCTTTCATTCTGATCATGAAGAAATAGAAAGAAAATATATATGCTTATATTTAGTAAAAACATTTTAAGCTCCTCACAACCATTATTTAGACTCTTCCCAAATATGCTAGTTCATCCAACCTTTTCTTATCTATGTCCATATGTTTTGAAGGCCTAAATTAACCACCATATAAAATAGAACCTAATTTTGTTCTTTTAGAAATATATATTCAGTTCTAATATAATCAAGCATGTTCTATGATTTCAGCCATTTAATGACCCGGTGCTTCGTCCAAACCTAGTTTTCCAGATAAAAAACTTCAATGAGATCTGAGTCACCCTCTGTTACACTTGGTTCTGAATCCCCCATTAGAATTATACGCTCTCTCTCATGTTCCCACAGCCTTTTATCTTAGTTTTTATTACATTACATTCTTTTCCATTTGGCCTGTCTTCTAACATTCACCAAGACCCAATGCTCACATACATCATTTCTAACCTTTTCCACAATTCTGCAAGCATTTTTGAAATGAAGAAATGGAAGTTTAGCACCATTAAGTAACTTGCCCAAGTTGGGATTTAAATCCACATTTGCCTACTTCCAAAGCACACATGCTTGCCTTTACACTATTGTATCAGGCAGTGGAGACTGGGTGTGTTGTCCTTATGATCTGGTGGGGGAAAATAAGCAGGCGTGCAACCACCATAAATGCTGGGTTGAGTGCCATGACAGTCATGTGAACAACAGTGGAAATAAAATTCAAGAAGCAACTCATTCCCCCGGGTTATTGGATAAGGCTTGGCAGAGAAGGCAATATTTAAACTAAGGTGTTACCAAGCCTATTATAAGGTGGGCATGGGAGGAGGATAAAAATCATTCTAGACAGAAAGAAGAGCATGAATAAAGATTAAGAGCTTGGAATTTTGAGAACTAGGAAAGGTGAGAAGCAGAGTTCAAGATGAAATGCAAGGCGTGTGAGAAAGGATCCTAAGATACGGGACTGGAGAGGCTATTTGCAACGGTTTCGTAAAGGGCCTTCAGTCCCAGGCTGAGGCAGAGGTTACCCAAATCCCCTTGGTATGCACTGTTCCCATAATGTCTATACCTTCAGATTGTAATTAGGTGGACTTTTCTGTCTAAGGGCTTTATTTGACCACAGAGCACCCATGCACATAGGCTGGGGCTGAAGTGTTACCTGGGAAAAGGCTTCAACCAATGAGGGGTAGAAATTAGTAGATAAATATCCCAGCTTTCTTGTCCCTTGGGAGGGACAACTGAAGCATGATCTCTGCATGCTGTCTCCCAGAGTTCCCCAACTGTTCACAAATAACCTGCTCATTTATTAGATTCCTTCCCTTCCTTGTATAATTCCATCACTCTCCTACAGCACTTCCAACAATCACTTCCCAAATGGATTACCTGTATCTGAAGTCCCTGTCTTAGGGACATCTGGGGAAAGATGACAATGCCAAGACATTTTTGGATTTTTGAATGATGAGTGCAATGCACATAGCTGGGACTAAAAATTAACTGCTGTTGGAGCAAAGTGATCAAGCAAGTTTAAATGTGTTGCCCTAAACTATATAGAGAACAAGAGGTACGCTACACATTAAGACTGAATTCACAATTCACCTACTGAAAAGGGGAAAGAGATTAATAGACATATTCTTCTTCCTTCAGAGTATAAGATTCACATCAAAAGTAAAGGAAATAGGGCTAGGGGCCAATATGGTGGAAAAGGATGGAAGTTTTTTTTGCATCTCTTTGTCCCTGAAATATAGCCAGATCAACACTAATCCATCCTGCACACCTAGAAAAACAGATTTGAGGATTAACACAACAATCTGCACATCCTGAACAACAGAACTCACCAGGTACGTGGCATGAAGAGGTGAACTGGGGGAGAGAGAAGCCAGGGAGAGCACGGAGCTGGTTTTGCTTGCAGAGAGAGGATGGAGACAGGTTAGAGTATGGGAAAAGCAACCCTCCTCCCCCACTCAAAAGCAGCTGGAGAGAAAAGAAAGTATGCAAAGGACTGAACAAAAAAAGGAAGAAAGGAGAAAAGAGAGGGTTTGAATAAACAGGGGGAGTGCAGAGTCTGAAACTCCGCAGCTTGATACCTGGCGGTGCTCTGGTGGGAAGGGTGAATCCCCACAGTTAGAGAGTGAGGTCTGAGAGGTCCTTGGGCCCCATGGGAAGAGGTTGTTTGCCTGTTGGGAGGACAGTTGGTAGAGGCTGTGCGGCCACCCCACAGGCAAAGGTCCCAGTGGATCTTGGAGAACAATCACATCACTGGTGTTGGAACAAGGACAATAAGTGGGAAGCCTGGTGCCATATGTGTGTTGTGATTTACCATAATCCCTGAAATGATGCTGCTACACGATTGCAGAACTTTTCCTAGAGGGGATTGGTACCCAGCCACAGTCTCTGGGCATCGGCAGGAGCATGGTACTGTGAACATTCCTGGGGGCAGGCAGCCACCCAGCCATTGATAGGTGAGACCCTCACCCAGAAGGTCAGAAAGGGTCAAAGCCGCAGTCCTTCAGAAGTGAGGGGTTGGGAAACACAGCCACATCTAAGATAAAACTCAGGAGGGAGATGCCACCTGGCAACCTGATGGCTTGGTCATGGACAGTGTAAAAGAGGGGAGTGGACACAAAAGTGAGACAAAGGAGGGGTGTGCGATTGCTGATCAGAGAGAATGGAGATCTGATACTAGATACTGGGGAGCTGGGTGACACCATTTTGACCCCTTGCATACAGGTGCATACACACCCACATACGTCACAACAATCCACCCCATCTCCACAGCACCATCTAGCAGAGAACAGAGCTGTTCCACTAAACCCTGCCCAACTGGGCCAACCTCGCTATTCAGGAACACCACAAGTCTCTCCACCTGCTTAGTTTATAGAATAAACATTTCAGAACATTTCATCCTAAAGAAGCAGAATTCACATTCTTCTCCAGTGCACATGGAACGTTCTCCAGAACAGATCTCACAGTGGAACACAAATCAGCCCTCAACAAGTACAAAAAGATCGAGATCATACTGTGTATATTTTCCTAACACAACACTCTGAAACTCAAAATCAACCACAAGAAAAAAAGTGAAAAGATAGTAAATACTTGGAGACTAAAGCCCATCCTACTAAAGAATGAATGGGGTAACTAAGAAGTTAAAGATGAAATTAAACTAAAGACATGGAAGCCAATGAAAATGATAAACATCAAAATAAAAAGCTTCTGCACAGCAAAGGAAACAATCACCAAAACTAAAAGGCAATCAACAGAATGGGCAGAAGATATTTGCAAATGACATATCAGATAAAGGGTTAGTATTCAAAATCTATAAAGAACTTAGCAAACTCAACACCCAAAAAACAAATAATCCAGTGAAGAAATGGGTAAGATACCATTCAGATGGCCAACTGACACATGAAAAAATGCTCATCTCTAATCATCAGGGAAATACAAATCAAAACCATGAGATACCACCTCATACCTGTCATAATGGCTAACATTAACGACAGAGCAACAACAGATGTTGGCAAGGATGCGGAGAGAGAGGATCTCTTTTGCACTGCTGGTGGGAATGCAAACTGGTGCAGCCACTCTGGAAAGCAGTATGGAGGATCTTCAAACGTTTAAAAATAGAACTACCCTATGATCCAGCAATTGCACTACTAGGTATTTATCCAAGGGATACAGGTATGCTGTTCTGAAGGGGTATATGCACTCCAATGTTTATAGCAGCACTATCCACAATAGCCAAAGTATGGAAAGAGCCCAAATGTCCATTCATGGATGAATGGATGAAGAAGATGTGGTATATATATATATATACAATGGAATATTACTTGGCAATCCAAAAGAACAAAATCTTACCATTTGCAACTATGTGCAATGGAACTAGAGGGTATAATGCTAAGTGAAATAAGTCAGAGAAAGACTATCATATGATTTCACTCACATGAGGACTTTAAGATACAAAACAGATGAACGTAAGGGAAGAGCAGCAAAAATAATATAAAAACATGGAGGGGAACAAAACATAAGAGACTCTTAAATACAGAGGACAAACAGAGTGTTGGTGGAGGGGTGGGGTGGATGGGCTAAATAGGTAAAGGGCATTAAGGAATCTACTCCTAAAATCATTGTTGCACTATATGCTAACTAAGTTGGATATAAATTAAGAAATAAACTATTTTTTAAAAAAGTAAAAGAAATATTGTTCAGGCAATTTGTGTTCATCAAAAAATGCAGGAGTTAAGAAAGTCTTATTAGTCCAAGAAAAATAAACCAATCCTAAGAATTTTAGGTGAAGGCAAAGTTAAATTTCAATGAACAAACCAAGCTTCTTCAGCTTCCACGCTAATGTCACCATCTTTTCTTCCTCCCCTCTCCCATCACCATCTTTTCTAATAATGCCAGTTGAATTACTCTTGAGCTATGATGGAAGGCCACTAAGTTGTAGCAACCCTATTTCTACCCAATAAAAAAGCACAGGCCCCTAGAAGTCCACAGTTCTTGAGTTTAAATAGAAGCCAGCTCATAGTTAAACTAAGAGCTCCCAATAAACATCCAATTTCCTATTATTACAACTGCCAATTCATTTAGTATGTTCTCAGGGCTCTTAAAAAGCAGAATGAGCTTATCTTAAAGGGGAGAGTCTTCTAAAGGTATAGCATACCACTTTCAGGTTTTGCAAT